TTGAAAATCAAGAAATTTACCAATTTACCTCTGCAGGCTCTTTAAAAAACAGGTATATCACAGAGAATTGAGTAATAGCTTGTTTTAAAGGTATTTAGATGGTGTATCACATCATATACTTATAATTTAAAAAATGGGAATTTTTTAATTTTTTTTTGTATACTTCTCAAAAACACCAACAAATATCTTTTTTATCAATGTTTTAGCTAATTAATTGTAATAATCTTTTTTTAAATATCCATACATAATAAAAAATTTTATTTATAATTTTTGAAACTACTTAACAAATGGAAATTAGTTAGTTTCTTGTCTTTTTTAAGAATTTTTGAAGTTTCCAACATTTCTTTTTTGGTTAAGGTATAAGTTTAATCTGTACCAGTAACAGGCTGAACTTTCCTAAATATTGTATCTTTATGAATTATCAATATATTTAAGTCTTAAGCCTTAAGTTTTGCATAATAAAAATAATTTGCTGGTCCATTCGAATGTAAAAAAGTAACTTTAATTTACTTAGACTCTTTATTTTTTCCAATTGTAAAAGCTAACCACCAAGAGCTTTTATAGTTAATGGTAACAAAACCAGATTTAATAAACCTTAATTCAGAATTCGTTATTTAAACACATTTAACAAGGTCTTGAATATGTTGTTCCAAGCTGAGAAAAAAAATTAGTTACTATTCTGGATTCAGAAACTGGAATCAAAGCATGCATTTTTTGTGTCCCCGCGAAAATAAGAAATAATTGTCGCTATTGCAGAACTTAAAACTGATTCCTGGAATGTTCTGTGTTGCAACCTGATACAGTTGTTCAGGGGTCATAATTTGTTGATCATATGATGTAAGACCTTTGCAGGCTGGCTTTGCTGGTCAACCTTTTTACTGTACCCCCCCCCCCAAACCGTGCCATGTGTCCTGGCAAAAAAATGCCACTCTGCCTGAATTCCAAATTCTGTCTCATGTCATGTCTCCTAAATTAATAAAGTTTTTTTGTTTTTATATTGTGCTGCGTACCCATCAGAGAAATAAGAGATTTAGAAAAGATTAAGGATTTTTTTAATTCAGGGATTAAAAATAAATGAAAAGCGACAGTATTATGAATTAGGCAATCCGAAATAAAAACGTAGTTTAAATGTGTAATTTCATTTTTAAAATAAATTACAAACGGGTGAAGGGTGCACCCCCGTCAAGTGGTACGATTGTACCTCATCCTGATGTACAAATGACAACTAATTCTCAGCAAATTCTCCAATTTTTAAATTGAACTTTGTTTCATTATAAAGCTGTTTCCGTAACTTCTCAAAATATGTTTTTGAAAATTGAACTATCAAAGTTATAGCAATGTTGCCAGAGATAAAATATTTATGATGTTTTGGAAAATACATGTAACACTGTATAAAATAAATTGATATATAAAAAAGCGTATTATTAGATAACCAAACTAAAAAAGCCTACCCTGCCAGCAATTTTCGTTATTAAAATTAAATTAATTTTACCACTATTAAATTTGACACAACAATATTCTGTTCTGTCAATGTAAACTATGATAGTTAAAACTTAGTGTAGTGCATAAAAAAGTGAGTTTTAAGCATTTCCAAATATTTTGGTAGAAAATGATTAAAATTGTAAAATACCTAAATACATTGTTGCAAGGCTGTAAAACATATACGTGAATATTTTGCATTTTACATATACATATATGTTTTATGCAAGATTTTTCTCAAATATACCAACCTAGACAGAAAAGGCTGGAATTTTTATAAACAAGAGAAAATAGGTGTCTCAAGCATAGCATAAATAAATTTTGGTAAAAGATTGAATTTTATGGTCCAAATAGTAAAATTCCCTATAATGTTTTTTTTTAAGGTTTTAATTTTTTTAAACTGGACTTTTCATTTCTCCATTCTGAAATCTGGTAATTATCATACTTAAACATAAATAAAAAGAATATGTTTTTTTTAAATAAAAATGGTGTTTTTGAGAATTTAAAAAAAATTTTTTTATTCCCATTTTTTTTTGTCATATCTTATCTGAAAGGGCTTCAAAAGATCTTTAAAACAAGCTACTCAATGCTCTGTGATAAGCAGTTCCTGAGATATATCTGTTGTTTTAAGAGCCTTCAGAGGCGGAATTGGTAAATTTCTTGATTTTAAAAAATCCATAAAAGAAAAACTACCGTTCAAAAAAATTTAAAATGTTGCGTTTTCGAGTTTTTCAGAACGTAGAACAACTTTACCTTAAATAATCAAAATCGGATATATTGAAAACAAAATTTACCTTTTTTTGGTTGATTTGATATGAAATTACCCTTTACACATTCATAAGGAAGCATTTCAAGCATTTTTTGCACGTTATCCAAAAGAATGCAGTGTCATTTTGCAGTTCATTCATAGACAATTAAAGGTCTTAAAAGTAAAAAGTTATAAACGATCTAAATTCACATAAAAACCACTATTACGTATTAAAAATATTGTCTGCTTTCCCACAAAAAATCGTGAACAAAAATATGGGGAGAAACTACCTTATAAAAGCATATCATCATCATAAAATTCAATTTTATCGGAATGCATCGATTCTTTATGAACACGAGTTAGCAGCCGGCTGCCGTATTGGCAATAACTTTTCGCGACGCGTAACTTATTCATACGTACGAACTCCACAAGAAGAAATCAACGTGTTTTTCCTTGGAGAAGGGCAAGGTGCGAAAAAATGCGATCCAGGACTGAGGAACGCGCGGGAGTATTTGTATCGTTTTTATCGGATTTTACAGGCGAACGCTTCGCGGCAAAAATAACGGATGACTGGGCCCGATTGGCTCAAATTTTGCTGACGGCGCGCCGAAATTCAAACAGGCGTCAGCGATATTTCGCCTGAAGTTGCACGTAACGTCGTAGATGTAGTGTTTCTGTAGAAATTATACAAGGACTTTAAGAAACTCTTCAAAATTTAAATCCTGGACTAGTGCAGCAGTGGTGGACTAAGGGGGGGTTAGTCGAGGAGTTTGTAGTTTGTTAAATTTTAACATAATTTTTTGTACACACTCAGAAAAATGTACATGCACTGATAATAAAACTAATTTTGTAAGCGATTAATAAAATAATATTATTTAACTTAAATTTAAAATTGTAATAGCTATAAAAAAATGTACCACCTAAGGTACCTTTTTTATTGAATTTTCAGTGTCTTATTGGGACGATACCATACGATTTGTCAACGTAATGAGGTTATTTTTATTTACAGAATAAACTTATTTTACTTATAATATTCTCATTTACTATAATGAAGCAGCAATGTTGAGCTTTTATAAAAAAAATGTTCATCCAACAAAGTAATAGTTGTTATCATATTGTCATGGGAATAAGAAATACTTTATGTTTAGAAGAACAATAAGAGTCATTCCAAATAAAAACACCAAATGGGGTGCGCTGCTTGATTTTTTATTTTGATAAAAAAAATGAAGATGATATTTTAGGTATCAAATATGAAAATCCGTTGCCGTTTTAATTTTTGGATTCTTTACTTTTAATCGGGCCAGAACTTTTTTCTGTGACAAATATTAAAATGATTTTGTTTTACTGTTCAGTAAGTGAAGCGTGGTAATTCAAAAGCGTCTAAGTGCCACTGCAGTGCTAAGCAAAAAGGTGGTAACTAATGCATAAGTAATGCAAGCCTTTAGACGCTTTTGAATTACCACGCTTTAAGTATGTTTTTGATATAAATTATTATTATCCAATTAGTTAATCTCATAAAAGAATGGTAAACCACTAAAGATTCATGATAATTTGCCAATTTTTGTGATTTTTGTCTGGCTCCTGTGCCTATTCTGCTAAATCTAGAAAGTTGCTTTTTTTCAGGTATCAAGTACTTATACAATAGAAAACGTAACTATTATTTTATGTTTCTAGACTACCATTTTCTTTATTAAAAAAATTATTGAAACTTGATAATTCTTAAAATTAGTCAATTTTGCCCTCAGAAATTATTATGTTGAGGAAAAAATAAAAATCCGAAACATGTCATACACAGCTTTCAAAGGCTATCAAATTGTTTTTTGTAAATTAATGTGTTAATTTTGAGGTGTCTTCTTACTTTTAAAAATTTCTCCGACTGATGTTGCCCTTTGTAATTTACTTCTTGTGACGTTTAAAACACTTGCCACGTAATACTGTGACCGTCCATCCTGGATTAAATTAATGGCTCTGGCAACATCATTTTTTAAAGTAAGAAGACACCTCAAAATTTAAACATTAATTTGCAAAAAACAATTTGATATCTTTTAAAAGCCGTGTATGACATGTCCAAGTAAAAAAATCCATATTTTTCACAAAAATAAATGTATCGAGGTGAACCAAACACAAAACTGTTAAGAATAGATGTGACTTGATAAATAAAACTTAATTTAGAACAATATACGGTTTTGCCACTCTACAGAGTGTCTTAAACTTATGGTAAAAAACATATTTTTGTTTAAACCTGTATATTATAAACGAACGTCTATTTTTTAAAACTTAATTTAGAACAATATACGGTTTTGCCACTCTACAGAGTGTCTTAAACTTATGGTAAAAAACATATTTTTGTTTAAACCTGTATATTATAAACGAACGTCTATTTTTTAGTAAATTTTAAAAATGTGAGCGATTGTCCATTAATTTTTCTACAATATTCTTTAATATTCGTTTAAATCCGACATCAAATAAAGAAGTTATTTGCGATTGAAATGTCAGATGTCATATTTTTCGTAGCAAAACTGATGTCCATTATTAAAACTCAAATAGAAAACCTCGTAACAAATAAACATCCCTGTAACTCAGCGGTTGGTCCGACCTCACAATGCGGCACGGGGATCTCATAATTTCAAATTTAGCCTCGACGTGCGGTAATTTCACAACAAAAATTAATCCATATTAGATTTTATGAGAGGCCGTTGCTTGGTCGTCAAATATTTACCGCAACCCGTCATAGTGGATTTATTAAGTTTTATGTTTTAAGGTTGGATGTGCTGTTTAACCTACCTTCTGTTTTATTTTATAAATCTTGGTTTATTAATATTACTATTTTTACAATTTATTTAGGAGGTGTTCAAAAAATCATATTTTTATTATATTTGAACTAAACTTCTGTCTTGCTTTTAGTGCCATCCAGTGTCGACTTGATTCTCTCCAATCTTTCCTCCTTATTTTGTTCTTCCTTCTGCTTCTCTTCCAGTTCCTTCTGCTTTCGTAATTTTTCCCTTAGTTTGGGCTTCTTGGCCTTCTTTGGTTTGACGTACAACTTTCTTGCTATTTTCTCGGCCAATTCTGCATACAAAACGTAACCGGTTTTCTTTGGATCCGCATCTTTAATGAACAACTTCAATTCTTCCGGGTCCAAAGGGTCTCCATATGCCGTCATTATTTCTTTTATCTCTCTAACAGTGAGAACATTATTACCTAAGCAAAACAAATATAAAATTTTATCTTTATCCAATAACTATAATAAAAAGTGGGACTACTTGGCCTTTATGCATATAAATACACAGTAAATTATGTGTACGAGGTGTGTTCAGAAAATAACGGAAATTGTTAAATTTCGCGGGTTCGGAGGGTCCGGTTGTCATAATGTTGGTATACATGCCCCCGAAGTATGATAAAAACTTTAGCTGTTTTCATTGTTTACTTTGTCTGTGGCAGCCGCTAAGGTTAGACGTGTTTTATGAGCTCGGCGATTTTTCGTTCGTTAAAAGAAATGGATTAAAGAATTTGTATCCAATTTTACTTAAAAAATGAAATAAATTCTGTGAAATGTTAACAAAGGCCTTTAGTAAGTCTGCTATAAGTAAAACAAGAGTTTACAAGTGGTATAAGGGTTTCCAAGATGGCCGTGAAGACGTTGAAGATGACGAAGGCCCCGAACGCACAAGCGAATTAACAACCGATAAAAACATGGAAAAAGTGGAAGAAATGGTTATAAACCATCATAGAAGTCGCTGATGATGTTGGTATATCGATTGGCTCATCCCATGAAATTTTTTCGAATGTTTTGGGTATGAAATGCGTGGCAACAAAATTTGTTCTAAAATTATTAAATTTTGAACAACATTTTTGGCCAAAAATAATACTGATGCCCCAGCCTCCATATTCGCCAGACATGCTTCTGTCTGACTTTTTTCTATTCCCAAAATAAAGAGAACCTTAAAGGGCCGTCGTTTTGCAAGCATAGATGACATTAAAATCGCATCGCTAAAAGAACTAAAGATCAAGTTTTAGAAGTGTTTCGAGTATTGGAAAAAGAGTTGGCACATGTTCATAATATCCAATGGGGACTATTTTGAAGGCGACAACATCAATGTAGACGAATAAATAAATATTTGTTTCAAAATTCCCGATATTTTCTGAACACACCTCGTATGTGTGAATATTGACAAAAAAATGATAAAAGAAGATGTGCACATGCATTGTAGCGCCAAAGAGAAAAGAAGTGATCCCAAATGTGAAAAAGGCCGTTTTGTAAAGTTTTACATTAAATAGTTTTGTTTATATTTATTGTTTTAGAATGATTTTTTGCCTTTATTTTTCTTTATATTTAGTTTTGGGTAAATTTTTTTATTTATTTTTCATGTATAAAATTAATTTTATTTTAATTTATTTGTTTTGTTATATATTTTCTGGTTTATATTATGTACTCGCGCGTTTAAAAAAAATTAAGTAGCTTTATTTCAAACAGGAGTCCTTTGGGATAATATTCTCCCAACAAAAATTTTGGCTTAGAGCCCATTGGGACAGAATTGTCCCACCAAAAATTTTGAGTTTGAGGTAGTTAAAACAATATATAAATGTCCTTCCTAAAAATGAATTAGTCAAAAATGACTAATTTAATAATTATTAGTGGCTGCTTGTTCACTTATTTCACATATTAAATGCAAAATTTACTATACTGCCGTGCTTAATGAAAATGCCGTAACCAACAATTTTGCGATTTTTGGTTTACGGCATTTTCTACTAGAACAATTCATCCTGCGTCTATCCCCGGTACTCAAAAAACCGTATATATATAGATACGGTTTTTTGAGTAACGGGGATAGACGCAGGATGAATTTTTCTAGTAGAAAATGCCGTAAACCAAAAATTGCAAAATTGTTGGTTACGGCAGTATATCTCAAAAACTCTTCTACTTTTTTAACTTGTTACGACATTTTTAGATTCAGGGGACAATTTTACATAAGAATTGGTTGTGAAATTTTGTGATACCATGGTATTCCATGGTTAACCATGGTACAAGTGAAAAAGCAGCCACTAATAACTATTAAATTAGTCATTTTTGACTAATTCATTTTTAGAGAGTACTATGATCAAACTGAACATGTTTGTAAACTCCTCACCAAAGCTCATTGTATTATTTTGAACGCCACTCTTTTGCTCTATAAAGGGTTAAAATAAATTAGTACAAAATGACTAGTTACTACAGTTATTAGTGGCTGCTTTTTCAATTATACCATGGTTAACCATGGGACACCATAGTATTCCTAGCATTTAACAGCCAATTCTTATGTAAAATTGTCCCCTGAATCCGAAAATACCGTCAAAAATTATGAAAGTAGAGTAGTTTATAGGATATAGTCAATTCCATATTATATGGAAAATTGACTATACCTTAAAAACTGTTCTACTTTTATAACTTTCGGATGCAGGGGAAAATTTTACATAGAAATTAATTGCCAAACATTCGGGATACAAATTGCAATTGACGAGAATCAGTAGTAGCTGCTTTTTCGCTATGAAAATTTGACATTTTTGACTACTTAATTTATTTTTAGAGAGCTCATTTTAGCTTGTCTGTATATAAGCTTGTCCTCAGTTCAGCTTTTTTCATGGTCAAAAATATACCTTAATTCCAACATTATTTATGAAGCCGTAAATTGCTGAATAAGAAGCAAAATTTTACCAGCTTTATCAAAAACCCTAAACGCCGCCACAATTTCTTCATACAAATTCTTTTCTTCAGCATTATTTTCGATGATCCTGACAAAAGCTTCGAAATCTATGATGTTCGTTCCATCTGGGTCTTCTTCTTTGAACATGACCTCCAGCTCGTTTGCGGAAAAAATGTAACCAATCGCTTTTAGAGCCTTGTCCATCTCTTTCAGGTTCAATCGGCCATCTTCGTCTTTGTCGAAGAGATCGAAGGCGTCTTGGAATTCTAGGATGTCGGACTCGCCGAATTTCGGCATTTTGGAAAGAAGAAACGTGTCACTTTTAAGTTGTCAATTAAAGACGTTTCTATTTGAAATAACAAGATTTGGATCTTTTAAATATAATTTTGATTTGGACCAATTTTACAATAGTGAAGAAAAAACTTACTTTTATTATATAATATTAAATGTTTTAAAAAACACTGTATGTTTTAAGTGTAATATTAATTATTGTTAGACTGAGTCTTACAAAAAAGTAATCATGGATGCTCTAAGCTAAACTTAAATGAAAATATATTATACCCTGGACACCAAAGCTCTTGAACATAGTATTAGAAAAGTTATTATCCTTGGTGTTTTTACTTTAATTATTTTTTTTTGTTAACAAAAAAATTAATCAATACTTTAACGTAGGTATTCACTGTAATGGGACGATATATGGGACAGTTAATTTTTAACATTTCTTAATTTATTATTTTAATACTCTACGAAATATTAGACTAGTTCTAAATATTTACCTTAAAATTGTATCAAGTGTGTATTAGTAACTTAATACTTAAACGCATTTTGTTTAGAGTATGTAATTTATTAGGGCAATATTTAACCTAGACCTTTAAGAGTTTCAACACGTGATAAAAATAGTATATGGTCCGATTGACTTGGACTGATATTTGTAAATAAGTTAAAGAGCGCTAATTGCAGACCTACGTGTTGATGCCTTTATACCTCTGTCACAATAGTGTTGATGTTAATGTTAATGGTAATGGTAATGTTAATGTTAATATCCAAAACATTGAAATCACCTAATAGTGTTCACAATAATTATTGTGAACACTATTAGGAGCTTTCAATGTTTTGCGTAGTAACAGTGTACCATAACATTAACATCACCATAACATTACCACTATTGTGACAGAGGTATTAAGCATCCCATGATGCACTAGGGAGACTAACCAAAACCGCATGTATGCCTTAGCATAGAATAGAACTTAAAGAAGAGAGAATATTTTGGACAGTTACGTTTACGTCTATTGGAAGGGACGAGTTGAATTCTTTAATTTTATAAGGAAGTGAATTTAACAAATAATACATTGTTTTTTATATAAATTCAGTTTTTGTAAAAGTGTTGTTTCTTTTCTATATTTAGTTATTATAATCTGAGGTCACAACCCAACTAGCAAAATAAATTCCTTAAAGAACTGAATTGTTTTATAACTATCGTCTAGAGCTGCAAAAAGAACATTTTTATTGTTTAATGCGTCTTAATACAATAATTTTATCGTAAAAACGACGAAATTCTAATACATTATTGTATATATATTCTTACAACTCGTGTTATAGAACCAAACTCATACACATTTTTTAACCATTGTATAACGTTTTATACAATCCCTTATAAAATTATTTTAAAAGAGTTGTATAAAAGTTATAATAGAGTTGTATACCTATTCTTATACTTGTAGTTTCAACGTTTTATGATAGTTGTAATAGAATTTGTATAAAAGTTGTATTGAAGCTCTATAAGATACATTAAAAAATTTAATTAGCAATTTTTAAGCAGAAGTAAACACACTACACAATAAGTATAAAGTTATTTTATAATTATCCTATAACTACACCGATTAACTTCTTTATTGAAAGTTTATAAAATAAAATTATCGCAAGTTCTGCGTTATAATTTTATTACTTAAGTCTGTTTATACATTTAGTGTCTTATTACGCCAAAATAAGTTAAGTATTTTTTTAAAATGGAGTCGCAATGGAAAAAAATTAAGAAAAGTGGGCATTAAAAAAAAAAAAAAAATAGGTTAGGTAGATAAAGAAGGTACCGCTAAAAAGTGGATAAAACAGAACACAATTGTATAGTGCGGTACAATGCATACCTTAAGCGATATTATTGTTCTATTGCGCAGTAGGCAAAGGCGTTATAGCCAATACGAAAAATGAACTTACAGGGTTGTTATTTTAGGCAGCAGTGTTACCTACAAATCCTTATTTGCATAAAAAATGAAGGTAACGTCGTGCAGGATAAATAAAATTTTACTTGATGTACCTAACTGCACCAAAAATGAGTATTTTATTCTAAAAAAAAAACAAATAATTTGAAAAATACAAATAAAATCTGGCAACATCTCAAATGTCAGTTTCTTGCTTTACTTTTATAGCGCCTGTATTAAACAACTTTACAGAACCTAAATATCGTATAACGCACGCGACAGAGCAGATAAATTGTATAACGTTTTTATAAAGACAAAACCATTTTATAACAAAAACGCCATATTTATTGACCGATCAATTGTTTATAAATCGCCGCCATTGTGTGAATTTTACCAACAAACGTTAAAACTGTCAATTAAAAATGAATTTTCTTGAAAAAAATTAATGTAATCTTAAGACTAGTCAATTATAAACTGAACAAATAAAACAATAATATTCTTAAAAAACATGAAACTTTGTCAAATAAAAAATTAATTTTTTTTTTTTAAATAATTTTTAGTAGGTATGTTTGTTAACTGGCGCTTTAATTTTTCGTTAAAAATATATACATATATTATCAGAAAAGATTGCTCCGCAGGAAGATGTTGTCCTCGATAGCGTAAATCTCAAAGGTTTAATAATTATATTTACATAATAAACAACAAGCACCATTTTGGATCTTAGCCGTTTGACATCCAACATAATTCGCATTATAAAATAGTCTTAGGATAAAAATTTCCCACTCCATTCCTAATTTCTAGAGAAGGAAACAAATTGATGTTCTTATAACGATTCTGTCGCATTATAACATACTTATAAAATGCTTGTTTTAATATTCTATAAATATTCGTAAAGTGCAATTAAGCTGCAGAGTAAAACCGCTATAGTATAATCGTATAGCAGTTCCCCAGTATACTGATACTGAGTTTTATAAGGGTTGTGTAGTGTATTTATATAACTGCTAACGAAGTAAACTGTTTTATAAAACGGGGCCCTTTTTGGTTGAGTAAGTGTTGTATAGTAGTTTTTAAACGCATTATACAATTTTAGCGTTTCTATAATATGTGTTGTATAGCAGTTCTAACAACACTTACATAATCAATTTTGTTAGCTGGGAAATATCATAATGAGTGGTTAATTATTTAATATTTAATTTAAACTATATTTTATTATTATTATTATTTCAGCTTGTTCTTTGTAAAAGAAGGAATAAGCTGAATTATTTTATCTTAATGGTTGTTGTTGGACAAACCAAATTACAAATTTATTATAATCATTATTTTATGTTTATAATTATTATATTTATATTACATTTACTTTAACATATTCTATTGTAATTTAATTTTACATTTGACTACATATTCATATTTAACATTTACATACTTTATTTTGTACAGTTTATCTTTTTTTATTGATTTGATAAATTGATATTCATTATTTAATATGGTGAGACTTTGTTTCAAGTTCTGCATGCAGAACTTGAAACAAAGTCTCACCATATGCATATCAAATGAGTTATTTAGTTAGGGAACTTTGTTGGTCTGGTAAGAGGTAGGTGGATACAGCTTTGCTTTGACAGGCGCACCCAATTGCCAATAATTGCCAGTTAACCAATTTAGATTAACAAAGAATGGTTAGCTAGGGATATTGATATGAAGTTGTTGTTTTATGGTATTATTTTATTATTATTGATAATCATTTTATTTTGCTATATTTGATTTGCACTGACATGTTTTTATTACTTGATTATATCTGATTGTATTTATTATTTATAGCTGTACAATTAAATAGCACTACCGTTGTCCACTACTATACCACTTGATATTTATATATTTATTTACCACTACCATTTATTTTTATTGTTTGTGACCTAAGTTATATTATAATAATAATAATAATCATTTATTAATCCAACGGACAAAACGTCCATACAAAGGATGTAACTAATTAAAGCTAAATAAATACAGCCTAAAAAGGTACATTTTAAGGTAAGGCTCTTATTATTCTAATAAATTGATTTAAAGTTAGGTTGAAAATATCACAATTCTCTTCAATTAGATAACTCCGACACATTGAAATTAGAGGGGAATTCCTTCTTTCATTATTATTCGCAGCTCCCACATGAAAAGTTTGGCAATATCTAGAATTTAGTCTTGGGACATGAAATTTTATTTTTAAGAGAATATCGGGGTCAAAAATAGTACCATGGACAATTTTATATAGATAAATTAATTTATGTTTCACATTATTGTTGTTTGTTGCTGTACTTTGATAATTATTTCAATGTGTATTTGCTTTTCTACACCGTCCGAACCTACCATTTATGTAGGTGAATAATCTTAGCAATATGATAATATAATTGATTATATTCATATTGATTACTTTGATTTTGTTGTATTATTTATATTGTTGAGATGTGCGACATATATGCATGTCTGTATTGTATATGTGGGTTTTTAAGGTTTTACCTTAATAACTTAAATCAATGATAGTTTTCAAATACAAATGTTTTTATTTATATTATTAATGTACAGTAACAATAATATTAACTCTTGTATACATTACTTTTATTAATAAACTTATTTTAATTTAATACTTTTTCTTTGCTGTTTAAATATCTTTTCAATTGCTCAAGTACTTACGTATCCCGAACCGTATTCACAACAAAAAAGGGTCCTAACTTAATTTCTTTAAACTAGACGATCACGTGTTTTGACCAAAGGTAGTTTTTCTGTGGTTTTAATATTCCTTTCTAATTATTAATGTGTGCCCCCTTAATTATTGTTAGACTGAGTCTTACGAAAAAGTAATCCCTGATGCTCTAAGCTAAACTTAAATGAAAATATATTATACCCTGGACACCAAAGCTCTTAAACATACTTTAAAAAAGTTATTATCCTTGGTGTTTTTACTTTAATTATTTTTTTCTGTTAACAAAAAAAATTAATCAATACTTTAACGTAGGTATTCACATAGGCGTAAACCTTTTTAAATTCTTTTAACACCCAATGAGCGAGAAATAAAACAAAAAATCGTAAAAAGTACTAAGGAAAAAGATTAAAGACCAAATTCATTTCCTTTTTAAGAATTCATTCCACGAACCAGTGAAAGGACAAATTGGATTAATGCGCGATAAAAAATAAATT